TGAAACCCGTTTATTCGACGTTGTTACGGCACATGAAGGCTTGCCACCGGTTGGCAGGACTGACGCTTCTCTGGGGAATTTTGTCCCTATTGGTTCCATGATTCCGTAAGCTTTATATTGAGGTTGACTCTTCTCACCTCCGACGTATCGATGCCTAACCTCAAGACAGCGACTAAATTTGCGCCCTTTTGCCTCGAAAGGGCTGATCGCCTTTGTCTCGACATGAGACTGTCATCGGACATTGTGACTTTTTTTTCAGGGTTGAACTTATCGAATTTCAACAGAGCATGAGCCTTGGTCTAAGCGATTACTCCCAAGCAGCGATTAATTATTACCCAGGTCGTTGGTAACCTCAATATCTAGAGCTCGTTCCTCGATCCACAACCTGACAGCCCTCCAGCTGGCCAGAAGCAAGGCATGCTGAGTGCACCTACCATGTCTTTATAGGTGCTTAAGCCGATAATATGACGAAGCCTTAGCCTGTGCATCGCACGGTCATCTGCTCTGCCAGACTTCGCATTTGCATCTATATTTATGTCAGCACTCACAGCGGCGTCTCCTCTATTTGAGACCACCTCATTCCGTTTCCTTTCCCTCCTTTCTAGCGAAGACAATGCTATCCAACTAACCCTACTAACAACTCGAGCATGATTGCGCTGGGCGAATTATAAAATATGATATAATATCGTCTTAGAGGTAGTTCAAAGATCGCTTAACGATATGCACTGCATTACCACTCGCGCAGTACAGCCGCATGGTTCTTTACGGAGAAGAAGGAAAAGACATCAACACAGAAGAAATCATATAAGTGATTATGGATTCTCATTTCGGCTACTCTGCTTTTGTTATCATTTTTATCAGTGCATCAGAATCAAGGACCAATTGCACAGGTTAATGATATCTGACGCTTGGGCTTCTCAGAAGTCATAAGTGAACTTCGCTACTGTATCAAGCAAGCTTCGAGTGGCAAAATCTTTCTTCGATGCATTTTATTGACTCAAGGATATTTTCCAGTTTTTGCATGACTTCTGTTCCCTCTTCTTTACTTATCTTAACAGCTTAACACTACTAGCGGTACTTGTCCGCCTGTCTCTATCAGCTGACCATCGGAATGCTCAGAACTTTAAT